GTGGGCGTGCGTGGGCGTGCGTGGGCATGCGTGGGCGTGCGCGTGTGTGTGTGTGTGTGTTCGCTTGATTGAGACGAGGGGCGGAAAATTCTTGGAAGCAGAACACGAAGATGTCCGGGCTTTCTCGGGTGCCCCCCTGGACCTCGCAAGCTCCTCGCACCAAGCCTGCAGCAAACGGCTCGTGACTTATTCAGAATACATATATGAAATATTCCGGTCGCACGCGGTGTCTATATGAATAAACTCGTACTATATGTTTACAAATAAACATATACATATACATCAATGTAACAAAACGCAGATGTGTATGTATGTATGTATGTATGTATGTATATGAATGCACGAGTTGGTCCCTTAATGTGGTGCTTTTTGCAGCATTATGTGGGCTTGTCCCTGACGAGCGACTTCGCAGGGTCTCTGCCGACTCCCAGGGCGCGCGGCCATGGAGGTTCCAGGAAGCCAAGGCTAATCGCAGCTTGCCCTGAGGACTTCGACGGACTTCCGGAATGGAAGGAGCCTGTCAGAAGAAGTCAAGGTCCAATCTAGTCGGGAGCTTTTCTTGGAGCGGGGGAGGAGGCGGGAGGCTGCTCTTGCATGACATGTGCGTTTCGTTCTTCGGGCTCCTGTTCTCATAAAATACAGAGCTATGCTTTGTTTCTCCAAGCTGATGTACGTGATCTGCCCTCTTTGGCATTGCCTTGGCCAGCTTGTGGCTGCGCAAGAGCAGCTGTATTGCCGACTGCCGCGCGTCGTCTTCGAAGTGAGCACAGTAGGCCTGAAGAAGTGGTGGAAGAACCCTAAACCGCAAGCCTTAGCCTGGTACAGGTGGCTTAGTGCTCAGGGCAGCACTCGGTTCACTGCCCTCCAGCCCTTCTCCAGCATGGCTCTGGCCGTATGGCCGCCTGGGTGTCACAAGTGGTCAGATCCAGTCGCGTTCTGTACAGAGACAGGCCTTGTCGCAGGGCAGCACCCATGGTGCTCGCAGTTCCCGTGTACCTAACACTGAGCAAAGTAGAGCAAACACAAACTGCAGCATGAGAGACAGTGCCAAGCCGTAGCGCCATTACAGCAGCAGCAGAGCACGGCAGGTATGCAATGTGTGGCTCTGGAAAAACTGCGGCTTCTTCCAAGCAGCTGCTCCGAAAGTGCGTCACCCAAATCGGCCCACATGCTCCTGCACAGCAACACGAATGTTCTCGCTGACTGCATCATCTCTGCACCCCGCTCTTGAGTTTCCTTAGCGCCGCTTGCAGATGGCCCGTCTCGGCCGTGGCGCCTCGATAGCCTGCACAGCGCAGGCTGTACCCCAGATTTTGTTTGCCATCATTTTCGGTGACAAGACCGCGCTTTGCCACTGCTACTGCCCTTGTGATGTCGCAGTCTCTCCTGGTTCTCACACAGTCACATCCTATGCTGGTGCGGGACTTGCGACGTAAGCACTTTCACGTTGTTACTGCATCACACTTGTCTTTCCGTTGGTGCCACTGGCCTGAAGAGATAGGAGATTGGAGGGTAGGCAGTTGCACTTGCAGCCAGCGCCAAGCCACCTGCGTGGAGAGAGCAGTCACTGCATTATGGCTTTTGCCAAGTTGGAGGCTCACCTCGGCTTCCTGTGCAAAGTGCATGCATGTGTGTCGTGCCTGGTACTGAAGGAGGTTCGTTCGATCTAGGGAATCGAAGCAGTTGGTGCGCACCACCCCTCGTTGTCTTTGCAGCCTGCAGTCCAAGAGAAGGCACACAAAAGGGGCACCTAGTGCGGTCATGGGGCACTCGGGGTGGAATTGAGATGTCAGCTTCAAACAAGCCGAAACCTCGCAGCAGCGCACTTCAAAAAAGACGCAGCGAACAAGCCTGACGAAAAGGCCTTCGATCTTGGATGAAACCTCATCGTAGATGCTGTCGAGTTCCCGAGTGAAGGCGTCCTTTAAGACTCCGCGAGTTTCGGATATCGATATCGCAGAAGGTACACGCCTCTTCTCCAGTGACTCGGGCCTTGGCTCCGAGACGAACAGAACGTGCTTAGAGCAATGTTACAGCTCTGCTGACTTAGGTTTTTCACTCAATCTTTGCCAAGATGCATGAAAATCCAAGTGGGCTAAGCTCTCACCGACTCGCCTGCGAAAATGCCGTAGCACGGCGGACTGGTAGCCGCCGCGCTCAACGGATCTGCACACCTTTTCTTCTCCAACTTCGCTATCGAGGCGCGAATATTCTGACGCGGAGAGACGCTGGAAAAAAACTCTTGCAATGGGTCTTCCGAACGCAATGAACCTCTGCAACTTTAGGGGGTGGGCGACCAAGATGACTATAAGCTTCAACACCAGATTGCAATGACATTGCATTCGCAGCGCCTGCCTTCAAAAGATGCATCGTCAGCTACCTGACTCTGCTCTCTTGATATGCTGTACGTGCTCACTCTAAAAAGTTTGAACGGGCTTATTCAAAGCCTTCTCCAATTGGAGAAGTGCCCAAAGAACTCGAACGGCGTGGAAATCAACCAGCACTTCGTAGCATGCAGAGACGGTGCGGCACGACCCTATTGCAGATGCGGTAGCCACATCAGACAGTGCTCTCATAAGCCGCCGCGCCTTCCAGCAGTCACGATTGCTGCAACTACAACCTCCACCACGACGACCACCATTACGACGACCACTACTGCCGCAACAACTGCAAGCTATTGGTTGTGGGCTGGTGCGAGGAGTGGAGGTTGGCATAGCGATGCCTAGGACAAAGGACATCCAGTCGACTGGTTCTTTTCGAAGTGCACTTCAGGGTTCACTCTACGAGGGGTTTTGGGTAGAGGGTACGGTGTCCGGCGACGACGAAGAGGGCTTGCACATCTCGCGGGATAGAGGGGCTTTGGGCAACGGGTTGAGCAGGTCAGTCTTCCCGCAGCGCAAAGCAGCAGTGGATGTTTTGACCCTGCGAGTGAGAAGGACTGTGTCTGAGGACTTCCCCGCTTCCACTCGTACTTGTACATGCTTGGCATTTCGCTTAACCCGGAGTGCGCAGCACGATGCTCGTCTAAGAACATTCTTCTACTTCCACAGCGGCTACCAGTCCTGCAAAACACGTCTGCCTCGAGCTTTCTTGTGGGGCGCAGAGAAAATAGCAGCTTGATTTTCATAGTGATGGTTCCATGCATTCACACGTGTGGATGGATGGATGGATGGAGGGATAATCGGATGGAGGGTCCGGCAGACAGTCCCATGTCGTTCTCCAAGCTGTGTTTCTCACTCTACATCATGCAGCTGCGGTTCTCAAGAGAGCAAGCTCGGAACCCCAAGTACTGCTTCCATGCAGCATTCTAGCTATCATGAGCCGTAGGGATGGGGTGGTAGTGCTCGGGGCGGTGGTGGGGACACTTGTAGGAGGAGGAGAGGCAGCACTAGAAATGGTCGATTAGAAAGCAAACGTACATTCTCGGCAAATTGAAGCGCCGAACGCTCAAACACTCAAAGACCACGTTGGATGGGGACGTAGAACACACTTGAAGGGCAATGTCTGGATTGATGTCGTCAGAACAAGTGTGCCGACACGGCGTCCCATTTCGTATGTAGTCTCGGAAGAGCTGCTTCCGAGGTCTCACCATGAGAATAGACCTTTATGCACCCTTTACTTACAAGGAAACCGCCCGGTACAGGAACCCTAACCGAATCCTGCCTGGAGTCTGTGTGGGTGGCCACAAGGTCAGGGATGCCAGGAAGGGATCGGTTCCAAGGCTCAGTTGGGGCACGCTACCTCGGCTTCTCTGGGCCCGTTAAAAGTCCGTCCCTGTCGCCCAGTCAATGAGATCTCTGTCTCTGTTCTCTTTACTCACTTTACTTCCAAATCTTGGATGTGCTGCCCAAGTCTCGTTGGAGCTGCAGCCATTGATGCTGCAGCATGCCTGCTCATGTCCAGGATGGTCAAGCAGCATCCCATTGACAAGAATACCCTTTGTGATTGGTGTCCACAGATTCCCCCACCAGAGGAGCACTTAACACCGAACTTACGGCAAGGTGCTGTCCGCGCTGGCCAGCTCATGACATTTGAGACCCATCTCGAGGAGCAGCTTGTTGGTTTCCTAAGCCGGCGCTGCACGAAATGCAACCCCCGCAAACCCGAATTCCTAAGAGCCAATGAGTTCAGCGAAAGCTCCGCTCGTAGCTGGTAGGCGATTCGCTGCAACTCTTCTTTTGACGAAACCGGCCTTAGCCATTTCGAGAGGGTTCTGATTGAAGCGGTCTTCGTTTTGCTTTATCTTTTCCGTGCTGCCTGCTGCTGCTTGACGGAAGCTATGACTTTATCCTTCATAACGCCAGTGATGGCTGACTCCTGCAGGCGCTTCGGCTTCTAACCTCATCATCACAACCATCGTCATCATCATCGCCGGCGGCAGCAGCAGCAGCAGCAGCACCACCATCAGCACCAGCACCAGCACCAGCACCAGCAGCAGCAGCACCAGCAGCAGCACCAGCAGCAGCAGCAGCACCAGCACCAGCACCACCAGCAGCACCACCAGCACCAGCAC